AATTTTCACAGTGTAAAATACCAACTTCTGTGCTGGAAAAGTAATTAGCTCAAGTATGGATCAAAGAATCAGTCTTCATCTGACCTGTACTGTTGATGATATTACAATTTTGCCATTTCCCCCCCAGAAACTTAAGTGAGTTCAACTAAAAGTTGGACTAGATTAGAAATATTTGAGGAAATAAAATTGTAACAAAATATTTCGAGCCTTCCAAAAATGCTTCCTTTTCTAAAGTTACTATGGGTGTTCTATAGACATTTCTACAGAAAATAAATACAGCATTACTGTCATTCTGTGAAGCAGCTTAGTGGTCCAGTGGATAAAGCCTTGGACCTGGAGTCAGTAAGACTTGATCATGCCTGAGATACTCAATGGTTGTGTGATCCAAAGCAAGTCCCTTAAGCCTCTGTCTGTTTCAATTTCCTTACCTGTAAAATGGGGGTGATAGTACCTCCCAGTACCACAACAACCTCCAGGGTTGCTGTGAGGATCAAAAGGAAATAATATTCTTAAAGCACTTTGCAAACCTTAAAGCATTATACAAATGCTAGCTATTTTCTATTCTGTTATCAATTATTGTCCTCCTTGACTATCCATCTACTAAGAGTATCTGGGATTCAGCACAGGGTGTGAATAGAAAGTTAGAAGAGAGACCCAACTCCAGGAAGAGGAGGCCAAGAAAAATAGTCACAGACAGTGAAGGATGGTAGGAAAATGTCACCAGGCTTTTGGCCAGGGTTGATACCACTGATGCCATTATGCCAAGATGATTTGTCTAACACTTAGCAGTGAAATGCACCAAGTGTCAAAAAGGAAACAAGGTAAGCCAGTAAGTGGAGGAGGGCTCAAAGATAATTTTGATTGGATAAATGTACAAATTTGCCCACACCTTCACAAGAAATGGGCACCACCTTGCAGAGACAGGTGGAGCTAAGGGATAACAACTGCTGACTCTTCGGAAACTATGAAGAGCGTGACATCTACTTGGCACTTTCATTCCACCAGAGTATATGTAATGGGCCAGCATGGGATTTCAATTCCACTTGGTAGTTGATCCAATATATCTTGTTCTAGGGAACACTGAAACGTAATGAAAAGAATGGTAAATGAAATACATCCAGCATATTTAACATGTCTGCCCTTGAACCTATGATTTCACATTTTGAAAAGCATGGCTAGACCAGATGAGGCAAGTCTTGAATCTTTTTGTACATATGAAAACATATGCACATTAAACTAAACTAACCTAACATGATCTAAACTAACTTTACCAAATCTAAATTAAACTAAACTAAAATATTCCAGATTAAAGGGGAGAGGAAAAAGCAACGTACATTTCTAAATAAAAAGTGCGTTGTCAGATTCAATTTACTCAGATTCATTGGGGGGGAGGGAATTGAACACCCAGGGACTTATGAAGAATTATGATAATTAGGAATGTTAAATATCTGACACAGTTAATGGATTATACTCATTAATGAATGTACAGATACTATGACAAATAGGATTAGTTTTATTTCTCAAGCTTAGGCGACGGTATCATTGAATACAAGTCTTCAATATAGTCTAGATTATCAATATACTAAAACTTCACTATGTTAATTAACCAGAAGAAAAGCCTATCTATATTGTTAAAAATTTTTATTAGAAAGCATATTGAAAAAAAATCACTATTACCACTTTTTTAAATTTGTGTTTCCCTTGTTAAGTCCAAATAAAATTCTAACTAGAGTAAAAAAAAATGTTGACTGTTGCTGTCTTCTTCCAGAAAGCAGTAGCATATCAAACATTAGCCTACTTCTACAGTGGACCTCTAATTATATTAGAATGACTTGAAACAGGTATTTCTAAAATACTTAACAAACAACTTACTCCTTCCAATTGGTAAATATTGTCCTGAAATTTTTCTTATGACTTAACATGCTTAGAAATTGACTTTATGTTGTCATCCAAACACAAACTATAAAGAATACTACCTAGCCAAAACAAAACAAAACTTCTAGTATAGATCTAATGGTGAACTGTATGTCTTCCACTCATAAACCATTCTACTTGAGTTCTAAAAGAGTCATCACCAGATGGTTGCCAACAATCAATTGAGAAAAAATAAATGTTTTTACACCAATCAACTAATGAATATCACAACCTCAACACAGAGGGGCTGTGATTTGTACTGGTGGAGGAATCACCCACATAAATTAAATGACTGATCTTCGATAAAGCAAAGTATTTGCTTTTAAAATTCCCTTTTTCTGCAATTAATGAGGCAGCTTGTCTTGTTATTTATCCCTTCCTCCCCCTTTTTAAAAATCACAAATTGAGATACAATGTGGAAAGAACATCAAACTAAGAGTCTAATGATCTTGATTCTAGACCTTGCTCTGTCCCTAAGTACATACTGTTTGCAGAAATTACATACTTTTATTATTCTATTTTTAAATAATTTAGGATTTTGTAAAACAATAAGATGAGATACTAGAAGAAAACAACTTTCCTGGAGACATTTCAGTCATGAGTCATCTGTATGAGAGCATAGGGAAGTAGGTGGAGTTGATAAGCCTAGTCAGTAATTGAATGGTTGTTAATTGGATCCAGCTTCATTGAACTGGGCAAATGGATTGAAAACTACAACACTGGGAAATTCAATTTGATGGGAAGCCACCTTCCTTTTGGGATTGAGGGGGAATAAAAAGGATGTCTTGGCCCTCAATGCTGAAATAATTAGAGAGATAAACCTCTAGGGCTTCAGAAGACAGAGTCATTTAGGATCTCATCAACAAGGTCAGGGATAGACCTAGAATTTAGTTAGGATGAAACAGAAGTGGACTTTAATCCAAGGAAAGGATCAACCTTCACCATTCCTAATGAATGCAATAACCATTGGTACATGCATAGATATTGGACAAAGGGAGCTAGAAAGAGACTGAGAGAAGAAGAGACTCTATTTTGCCTTAATTAACCAAACTTTATTTTATCCTTTGGTTTTATTTTAGTTTTTGCTATGACTCATTAGTAGATCTCTTTAACCCTCATGAAATCTCAATTGGAGGGAAAGGCTGTTGTTTCCCATCTGGGCCACAAGAATCAGAAACACAATTCTAGCTCTGTCAGTGGCAAGGTAGGACTAGATAGCTATTGGTGAGATCAAGTCCTGTTTTTGATCTTCTAAGTATCAGTAATATTATTTTTAGAGATGAAGAAAGGAAGATTCAGAAAAGTTAAGTGACTTTCGTGGGGTCACATAGCTATTAATAATCAGAACCAGGATTTTAACCCGGATCACTTGGCTCCAACTTAAGCTTTTCTTTTCTTTCTTAGTTTTCTTTTCTTTTTGCATTATTCCATGTTTCTTCTCAGAGAAGATGATATTTAAGAAGGATTTTGAGGCTTCGTATGTGGAAGCTGTTTTCTGTCTAGCAGGAGAATTGTTTCATATTTATTAGTTTATTTCTCTGAGCCTAGGTTTGTAGTTCATGCCCTTTCTGTCTTCCATTTTTTTTTTTGTGCTATACTGAGGTGCGTACTATTTTATCTGCCAAGTAGAAGATAAGGTCCTTCAAGTTATTGATTTGTCTCTTTGTGTTCCCAGGGCCTAGCAGAGTGTCTTGCACAAATTAGGCACTTGGCAAATATTTGTTGAATTTAATTGAAATGTAACTAGCTGTTCTCCAAGCTTCCTTCCATTTCTAAAATGCTGTGAAACTGTCAATTAGTAATGTTCTAATTAATTCAATGTTATGGTTTTAGATTTGTGGAGTAATCTATTTAAAGCTACAGGACACCATGCTAAGCTAAAGAATCTTATTAAGATAACTGAGTCAGTTCCTAGTCCAACAGAAAAGTGAAGTAAAAATCATGCCCAATTCAGATAAGCCCTTGGCTGTCACTTAAAAGTGAAAAAAGTGGAAGATAAATTTTTTACTCATAAAGAAAGAGGATGCCAATACTTCATTAGGTTGTAGGATCTGCTTTGATGTCTAGATCAGTCAGCACAAAAAGAAGACCAGGACGGAGACTGGGAAAATGGACCAAGTAATAAGGGGGCAGACAACTGTAGGACTTAAAGAATTGCCAGATTTTTCAGTCATGATGAAACCAGGCAGAGGGACAAAGGTGAAGTCATAGAATTCAATGTTTGAGAAGTCCAAGGTATAGGCCAGAGAATAAACAAAGCAATGCCAGGAACTGGATTACAAGGGTTAAAGCAGCAAAAGTTTCAAAATCCAATGGTCACCATAGTAAAGAAAGGTCTTTGGGAGCAGTTGCCGGCTGTGGCCTAAGGGATTTGAAGTTTTTATGCTGAGCCCTCACTACCTAGGTACAAAACTAATTTTAAAGTCCTTCCTTGTATTTAACTTGGAACTTTTACTGTAAAGGAATACTGTGATATCCTTGTTCTTGGGACCAAATAGGAACACACACAGAGTTCCAGAAAATCTTTGAGTTCATCTAGGTCAAAAAAAAGGATCAGATCAAGTTTGGAGGCTAGAGCATAAATGTCTTCGTCAGAACTATCTCTTCTGAGTTTAAGTAGGGGTCTTGGCTAAGGTGACTATGACAATCATTTCACTTTCTGACAAAGAAAAGAGGTAAGCCTTAGAATCTGTTTTCAAAATATCTATCTTCAATATGCACAAGGGAAAAAAAGCAATGGAATGCCTAGTCATAATATACATTGGATGGGTAATGTATGTAGCATCTGAGTTATATGTAATTTTGGTTGTAAGAAGTTAAAAAAAAAAGAAGCTATGTGAACAGGAAGCAAGACACTGTATTTCCTGCTCGTATGTTGTCTCAGCTGTTTAGAGCTTACAGCATCAGCTGAAGAACGTCCATTTATCACGTAATGCTAATCAGTTATCATTCTACTCTACATTTTGTACAAAACATAGCTGGGAAGCCTGTTCTGGTTTTGATGGATAGCCAAGTAAGACAGCACATAACCAAAAAAGGCATAAATACTCACAGATGTCTGGTCATTGCGATGTGTTAAAATCAAAGGAAATTAGAGCTGGATAAGACCTACGTGAGAGAAGAACCCATCAGAAGAAATGAGCAAATTTGCTTTTTTTCGCCTTTCTCCCATAAGCCAGTCATCCTTTATGGTGGTAAATATTAACATTTAAATTCTTCATTCCATTTGTTTGCCTAATCCAATAGCTATGTGTGTGTTCTTAAAGATTTTTTCTTTTTTTTTTAGAGAAGACAAAAAACAGAAACCTTTTTTTTAATCACTAAAGTACACACAAATCTGCCCAAATCACACTTGTAAAATGTGCTATAAATTTATTTGTTCTTTAGCTTTGAAAAACAAAACTTTTACCTTGCTCATGCATTGATATGTGAATTTGCTTGTTTGTGAAGCATGGTTTAGTAATAAACTAAGGTGGCAAATAATGAAAGCCAGTTTGAAAAATGGCTGTGACGTCTCCTTTCTCCCTTTCTGTCTGAACATGAAGGTCACATAATTTTGTTCTTTACTAGATGATAGCAGAAAAGCATAAATGTTTGTGAACACACATGTGAAGCAATGTGTTGTTCTTTTATTGTTGCATATCTGTATACTATCTTGTATATTGATCTCTTTCTAGCTACCTTATCTCCTTTTATGAGCCAGTTATTGTCTATAGACTTATCTAACCTGTGAAAACTATGTTATATTAAAAACTATGTGCTATAGTCCTTGACCTTAAATCAGGTTCAACAGCAATATTTCACTAGTTCTATTTTTGCTCCTTTAATTTTGCTAACTCAAGAACTATAAAATAAGTTATTGAACTGGTCATCTCTCTCCCTTCCCAAGGAATATCTCCTCATATTGTAATATTTGAAAAATGACAAATACATAAGTTTGGTATGAAAAATTTATGTTCCAGAATTATTTTTTTCACCAAATGTGCAATAAATCATTTATTTATTTATTTTTATTTTTTTAACTCAATGAAGGGAATATTACCTGTTGAGTACTACACTCTGGGTAAGAGCTTCTGCCACAAATTAACCCACAACTGAGGTTGTTGCTTTTCAACACAAACAACAGCACACAAATTATACCCTTGAGCTGAAGCTCAGAGAAAGAGTTTTCTGTTGACATTCCAGCTCAATAATAACAAAGAGAAAATATTCCTTTGGACAGGGCACTATTCAGTGACCAAATGTCAAAGTTGTCAGAATTTGAAATCAAAATGATGATAGGATGTCCAAGGAAGAAGGTTAAGGTTCAGAAAAAGCTTTGCAGATTTGAATTCAAAACTGTAGAATTTAAAGCAGTGTTGTTACTATAGCAGGCTTTTAATAGATCAAGGAGAAAAAAAGGTCATGGCAACATAGGCTAGGAACCAATCTCCACTTTTGAAGCCATCATTTTTAGCATGGGTTGTATAGCATCCTGTGTTTTCATTTGGGCTCAGAATTCATGACAGTGATTTAGTTTAACTTATAAATGGCTACCATTTTCTTTTAAAACTTCTTGGTAAAGGATGTAAAGGAAATTTTTTTTTTATTTTTATTAATCCATAAAAAGGGTCAGTTTCCTTTCACTCCTAGAGCTTCCTCTTCTACTTATACAAGGATTATTTTTATCCTTCAATATAACTGCATGATCCTTGCTAGTTTTTATAAGCAGATTTAGAGGAACAGAGGAATGAACTGCTGGTATGATGAGTTCTCCAAAATGGTCAGAAAAGAATGAGGAAATGGTTTGACATAGATGGAGATGCTAATTGGCATGAAATGAAGAGCACAAGAACAGAAGAAGGAAGACTTTGTTTTCCCCCAAAAGGTAGACCAAGTGACAAAATATCACAAACAAGAACAACAACAAAGGAAAGGCAAAAACATTTTTCTTTTCTCTTCCCTTGATTGCGTAACTAATTCACCATAGACTGCAATAGAGAGTAGGACGCTGACATCCTTTACAAACTTTGTCACCAGCCCTGAATATGTATGGCAGAATTAAAATTTAAATTTTCAAGTAGGAATGAAAAGCCCATCTTGCAACACATGTAAATACAACACTGCTCTTTATTATTATGATTAAGTTCCAAAATCAACTAACTAACTCTTCTATTTATTTAATCAGTGCAGTATAGAAAATGGAAAGCGAGCCTCAGAACCAAGAAGTCATGGATGAAAATTGTGCCTCTGATCCATAACAGCTAGGTGACACTAGGCAAACCATTTATTCAATCTCTCACTGCTCTAGCCAATTCTCAAAACCTATAAATTGCAGAGACAATGCTGGCATTCACTGGTAGAAAGAATTTTCTCACCTGAGAGTTCCCTATGTATTAGTGAAATCATAAGTCCAATCCCTGTACCTATTTAGTCAACACATATTTATTACAAGACTACTATGCTATTCATTATAGAACTTGACATAAGTGGGGTTAGGATCTTAAGGCAGATTCTCCTGTTGGTCATATAATGAACCTTTCCATGGTCATAAATCTAAAGTCTGATCCCTATCATGACTGTTCAGATAACATGCTATTGGCCAAAAGGGAGACTGGACAGAAATATACAAATGGATTATTATAAATTTATCACTACTAGCAAAATAATTCCAAGGTGGCAATGTTCAGCAATACCATTTTCATATTCAAAGAACAGTACTTGTTTTGTTTATTCATCATAAGATTTAGGGGTAATAGACAGGCACAGACCTTCATGATGCTTTTCTCCCTTTTTTTCTAAACATCGACAAATACAGGACATCATCTTAAATAGTCACTCTTCTTTATACCATCACCCTACATATAATTATCATTTCTAAACCTGATTACATTTTATCTTAGTCTCCTACATAATTCTTCCTCCTCCCGAAATGTTTCCTTTTTTTTTTTTTTTTACTAACTGCTTCAACCTAACAACCTCTCTGAGACTTTATTCTCAATCTCAGGGATAAGAAGCCTCCTGGCTCCAGAATACCTGAAGTAACTTAGGGCCAGAAGAGCTTCCAATAAGTGTCCATATATCTAGCTGCCATTCTTACCTCTATGTAAACCAGAGGAGTAGGAGGGAAAGAAAGTTAAAGAAAATAGACTTTAGCTGTATTCATCTCACCAGATTTAGCTTCAAAGGTAGGAATGGTGCCTAGTAGAAGTAAAGTACCAGTAGAATTCCTCATCAGAGCAGACAGCTTGCACAGAAAAGGAGCAGTCTGATACGACGCAGAGCACATCTTATGATTTGCTGTTTCTGTGGGAGAAGGATAGGGTGGCTATCCCCAGAGCCACTGTGGAGTTAGCATCCCATATGCTTCTCATATATTTTCAATTCTCTTAGAATCAGGAGCCAGTAGTAGATGAGGAAGCCGCTAGAGTTAGAAGAGAAAAAGAAACAAAAATAACAACACCTGTCACCCTGGTTAGGCATGGTTCCTAGACTCCTACCATTCAGCAGCATGGTAAAAAGGCGATGAAGAAGTTGGCAAAAACTCAGGAAGTACAAGCATGCTGCCCTTATTGCTACTCATTGCTTTTGGGCTCTTGCCCCCTCCCCTCCAATGTCAAGTGAGCAGCAAGTGGCAAATTGTCAAAGATCAAGAGACAACAGTAGTATTGACATGAGCACTGCCCATAACAATGAACCATTCCTGAATGTCTTAATGCAAAGTCTACAGTCAAGGCAGAACTCATCAGAAGGTGATATAAGAACCATTATGCATGACACCTCATGCCTCACTATTTTAGTCTGCTTTCAGATAGATGTCTAGCGCATAGCTCTCTGAGATGAATTTGAAAGGTGGTGGAAAAATCTGGCACCGAGGAGAATTATAGCTATGATCATTTCTACTATAGACCTACTGCAGCTGTTCTTCAGTCATTTTCTTTTCAGTCATGTCTGACTCTTCATTACCCCATTTGAGGGCTTCTTGGCAAAGATATTGGAGTGGTTTGCCATTTCCTTTTCCAGCTCGTTTTACAGATGAGGAAACTGAGGCAAACAGGGTTAAGTGACTTGTCAAGGGTTGCACAGCTAGTAAGTGTCTGAGGTCAGGTTTGAACTCAGAAAGATGAGTCTCCCTGACTCCAGTTGTTCTATACACTGTGCCACCTAGCTGCCGTAACAGACTTACTACATCCACAAATAAGCAGGTTTTGCCTCTGAGATCAGTATCAGCAGAATTAAGAGACCTGTTTCTTAGCAATATTAATATAAACATATACTGTTTAAAAATAACTGTGTTAGAATATACAACTCTGGGCATCATTAGTACTTTTAGGAGATCCTGTTCAGGTTAAAGAAAAAAAGATTAGTGCTCATTAGGAATAGTATAACATGGAATAATAAAATAATATGATCTTATAAAATAATTTGATGTTCATGAAAATGATAGGAAAATATTTGTTGTGCTTTTAAGACTCTGCACAACATGGTTCCTTCCTACCTTTCTAGTCTTCTCACATTTTATACACAAAACTTATGATCGACCAATGTTGGCCCATTTGCTGTTCCTTATACATAACTCCCATCTCTCAGTTCCATACCTTTGTGCTCTCTGTCCCCTAAAGCCTGAACTTCTCTCCCTCATCAGTGCAAGTTTTTGACATTCTTGGCTTCTTTTAATGCCTCATATCCTATCCTTTTAAAGCTTAGAGAGCCCCTGCTCTAAATCATGTAGTATTACACAGAACATAATGGATGTTATTCAAGTTGCCCAACTGTTTGCCCTGGTTCTCTTTACATGAAGACAGACAGACAGACAGACAGACAGACAGACAGACAGATAGATAGATAGATAGAGATAGATAGATAGATAGATAGATAGATGTCCTGACAACTTTTCCTGATGCCATTTTTGGCATCTGTGGCCTCTTTGAAAGAGGTATTTCCCAGCCCTTCCATTCACTTGAGCTAATTCACTCTCTAATGTTACCTTTTTTATGCTTGTTATATATCTTGTGCATGCTTTTTTATTTATATGCTGTTGCCCCATTAGTAAATAAGATATTTAAGGACAAGAACTGGATTTTTTGGTTTTGTTTTGTTTTGTTTTCAGTTTTTAACCTTTCTTCCTACCCCCAGCAATTAGGACAGCACCAAGAGCATACTAAGCTTTTAATGAACGCTTGCTGATTAACAGGTTGATTGATTTTTTTAAATT